CTATGCGTATGGATTACCCTTTGGAGAAGTTGGCTAAGTTGTATATTGAGAGGATTGTGTGTCTGCATGGTATTCCGTTAAGTATTGTTTCGGATAGAGATCCGCGGTTTACTTCGAGATTTTGGGGGAGCCTGCAGAGTGCTTTGGGTACTAAGTTGCGTTTGAGTTCAGCGTATCATCCTCAGACTGATGGTCAGACGGAGAGGACGATTCAGTCGCTTGAAGATCTTTTGAGAGCTTGTGTATTGGAAAAAGGAGGAGCTTGGGATAGCTACTTGCCTTTGATTGAGTTTACCTACAACAACAGTTTCCATTCGAGTATTGGTATGGCACCATTTGAGGCGTTGTATGGTAGGCGGTGTAGGACACCATTATGTTGGTTCGAGTCCGGAGAGAGTTCGGTTGTTGGACCCGAGTTAGTTCAACAGACTACTGATAAGATCAAGATGATTCAAGAGAAGATGAGAGTTGCTCAGAGTCGTCAGAAGAGTTATTATGACAAGAGGAGGAAGGCACTTGAATTTCAAGAGGGAGATCATGTATTTCTTCGAGTCACTCCGATGACAGGTGTTGGTAGGGCACTGAAGTCGCGCAAGTTGTCGCCGCGTTTCATTGGTCCTTATCAGATTTTGCAAAGGATAGGAGAAGTCGCCTATCGTGTGGCTTTACCACCGTCGCTTGCTAATCTTCATGACGTATTCCATGTATCTCAGTTGAGGAAATACATTGCGGATCCGTCTCATGTAGTCCAAGTAGATGATGTGCAGGTGAGAGATAACCTGACTGTTGAGACATCACCTATGCGGATAGAGGATCGGAAATTGAAGCAGCTTCGAGGTAAAGAGATCGCTTTAGTGAAGGTCGCGTGGGGAGGATCGGCTGGTGGAAATGTTACTTGGGAGCTTGAGAGTCGGATGAAAGAGTCTTATCCAGAACTGTTTGAATCAGGTAACATTTTCGAGGACGAAAATTCCTAAAGTGGGGGAGGGTTGTAACAGCCCAAATTTCATTAAATAATTAATTGTAGTAACTAATTTATCTAGTGGGATTTTATTAATGTTGGAAATTAATTTTTATTAATTGGGATTAATAGAGAATTGAGAAGGAAATTGGAAGGAAGGAAAATGAAGGAAATATATATAAGAGAGAAAAGAAAAGAAAAGAAAGATAGAAAAACATTTGGAAAGAAAGAGGAAAGAAGAAGAAAGGAGAGAAAGAGAAGAGAAGAAGAGGGAAAGTGGAAATCATCAAGAACCAACATCAAAGCTCCGATTAATCGAGGTAAGGGTGAGAAATGTTTCTATTTGATCATTGTATGATGTTATGTATGTTGGGTTGGGGTTTTGGTAGAGTTTTCATCACTTTCCAATTAGGGCAAAAGTTGGAATAATCGGTAGATTGATGATTTAATCGGTTGGAACTTGGAAATAATGCCGTAGAATAGTCGGGTAACATGAGGGTATGATGTTTGTACTGATTTTGATTGTGTGAGAAGTTGGATGATGGTGGATTGTGGAGGAGGAACAGAATAGGGTTCTGTTCTGCGCAGGTTCGCTGGCTCTCGCCAGGCGAGCGAAGGCGAAGCTTCGCCAGGCGAAGCCTAGCGAATGTTGGCGAATAATTATATTTAAGTCCCAGTAGACTTCGCTGGTGGGCTCGCCAGGCGAAGTGGGATGGCGAAGGTTCGCCCAGCGAAGGTGCTGGCGAATGGTGGCGAATGAAGTCAGTAGCTACTGGCTTGGGCTCGCTGGGAAGTCTCGCCAGGCGAAGCCTAGCGAGTGTTCGCTGAGAGAGTTCGCCAGGCGAAGGCCAGGCGAAGGTTCGCTGCGAGGGTTCGCCAGGCGAATGAAGGCGAATGTGGCAGTATATTTTCTTTGCTGTGTTATCCAAATGGTGATTGTTTGGTTGATTCGCATATGTTTATACTTCTATGTTATGAATGAGTATGTGAACTATTACGATAACATGTGCTGTGGGTAGCCTTCGGGCGTGAATCCTAGAGTTGTGGATGTTTGATTGTTGTGTACAATTATGTAATGAGTATGCATGAGAACATTTTGAATATGTGTGCATAACTTATAATTGTATGATTGGTATTGTAATGAGAATACCTTGATTGTTGTGATAATTAGAGACACATGGGAATACAATGAGAAATGTATGTGTATCGTCGAATGAATTGCGAGTGCATATATGTATGCGATTGTGGCGTGAATGCATGGGAACATATGTGATATGTGTGCATTGTTGTTGAATATGATGATGTGTGAAATGAATACATTGATAAATGTTTGATATATGTTGTATGTACAATCATTGTGTAATTCTTGAAGTGATGAATTATGTAAATGCATGAGATTAAGATGTCGGTCTTAAGTGCATTTGTTGTGGTTGATTGTACATGCATCATTTAGTCAAGAGGCAATGTCTGTTAGTTTCGTGGAAACTAGTGGCTTGTCCCAAACCTAGAAGTGTGGGTTTGAAGGCTTAGAGGACGGGCCTTTGTGGTTATCGGTCTAGAAGTGTGGACCCGGTTTAATGTAAAAACCGAAAAAAGATAACGGGTTATCGGTCTAGAAGTGTGGACCCGGTTTAATGTAAAAACCGAAAAAAAGATAACGAGAGTCGGTACCGCATTGCATGAGTTGCATTGAGTTGTTGAGTCACATTGATATATGACATATGCATGAAGTGATGCTTATGTGTGGATGATGAGATTGTGGAAATTGTAAGTGTATACATAATGTGGGAAGGCTTGTGGATATCCATGTTTGTATATATACATGTGTGGTAATATATATGACTAAGAGAATGAAGTGTGGTGAGAAATGTGAATATGTGTTATATGATTACCTATATATATATAATCTTATGCTTTGATTATTATGGTTATATTTCTCACCCTTCTGCTGTTTTATAATGCTCTATGAGGCATTGCAGATTAGGATGCTGGAGTCCTTTTGTGAAGAATAGTCTTCATTCTTTTGAGTCTACTGCTCTGATATGTAACACCGGGTAGTTAGACTAGTATAGCCATTCTTTTGTGATACATTGCGGTGTATCAGCTGATGTGGTTTTGTAATCTAACTGATATGATATATATTAAATTGGATAGCTTATGTGTACGTGAATTAATATTTGGAACTGATTAAATGATTTTATCTTCCGCTTAAATTGAAAATGTTACATATTTTATGGAGCAAATTGTGAAAGTGTTTTATTGGTGAAATTGTGGCATTCTTCTTTTATACCTGATTATAAAACCTTTTTACTCTGATAACTTGTATGTGCTTAATTGTTTTATATGCAATTATTTGGGATATAGAAGGGGGTGTTACACAACCTAAGCCACACAATTTTTGATCTTTGCATCAACATCTTTTCCTCCAATTCATTCCACTTGATAACATCCTCAGTGCATTTCTTAACTAGCTCAATCTTATAACTATCCATTTTATTATGCATGAGATCTTGTTGAGCTACCTCATGATCCTGCCTAGCCTTCAACATATTGTGCTTCAAATTTGAGATGGACTTGCTAAAAGCTTTCAACTCAGGATGCAACCTTCTGAGTTTATGCAACAGAACATACAAGGGGCTGCCTTTTATGGGTTGTCTCCATCTATTTCTAACCAAATTCTCATAGCCAACCATATCAACCATACAATTGTAAAATTAGAATTTACCTTTGTAATTCCCCACTTTAGGAAAACCTGTCACACAGAGAAGTGCATGATCGGAAACACTAGGGGAGAGAATGTTCACAGTAATGTCCATGTTAGCTTGAAACCACTCCACATTCCCCAGAACCCTGTCAATTCTAGAATAAATGGTGCCCGTAACATGCTTATTAGACCATGTGAAATAGTCTCCAATGTTATCCATTTCACATAATCATGTGCTTCTCATCATATTCTACATATCAGCATACTCAACCTCAATCACAATCTTCCCACAAATCCTATCTTGAGCCTTTGCAACATTGTTGAAATCACCAAGCACACACCAAGGCCCTTGATGATTCCTATACAAGCTCTCGATGTCTTTCTAGAGCATTCTTCTGCATTCTAGCTGATTCTGTGCATATATAGCTGTTATCCAATACTTAAAAACTCCAGAGGTGTCAAAAATTCCATAATGTATAAACTGATCAGTGCTCTTTATATGCTTAATATCCATCTTGGTATTATCCTATTCAATATTAATCCTACCATTATCACTATACTGATAATTGTCTAGATATCTACCATTCAGATTAAACTTATCTCTAACCATATTGGCTTTAGAATGCTTAACTCTGGTCTCAATCAAAATAACAATCTCAGGTTTAAACTTTAGGAGGCGCGAGCTAATCTCCCTAAGTTTTCCTTCCTTATTCATCCCCCTTACATTCCATGAGATTAACATGTTCCCCTATCAAAGTCCATTAGTGGATCATCCAAAGTCCCTAGTACCTTAAATCCATTTTCACAATTAACCATAAATGTTGAACCAACATAAGCTATTATCTTACCTTTATCTCTAGTGGCATTACTCACCCTTGTCCAGTTCTCCCCACTATCTTCATTTTGCTGCTTTGGATTCTTCTTTGATGTCATGGCAGTTGGGGTTGTATCCTAGTTAATTTCAGGTGGCTTAGGCTTTGGCTTCTACTATTTCCCTTTTGTATGTGCACCACACTAATGACTCATTTTTTGACACTTTTCACAATAAAGTGGCTTCCACTCATATTCAACAGCTTGCTTCATTTTCCTTCCTTCACAATCTTTGATGGTTATTTCCTTAACCAATGTCTGTGTAATATCAACCTTAACCAAAATGTGCGTATAAGATACTCTCAACTTATTTTCTGTGCATTCATCTGTGACAATGGGTGCTCCAATAGCACTACCTATTTTACTCAAGCTCCTTTCCCCTCATAGGTGCAGAGGGAGTTGGGGGAATTTAACCCAAAGATGAAGTGTTCTCAATAGGTCCCTTTTTAGGTTGAAATCAGGTCTCTATTCCGTCAACAACATCAACATATTTCTTATTGTATACGATCCCTTCATCATAACAACATCCATAACTGAATGAGATTTGAATATGAGAAGAAAGTAACCCTCATCATGGTAATACATATCTGGTAATTTGATAAAGTTCCACGCCTTCGTCATGTAATTCTTCATCGTAATCATGCTTAGATCCTCCCCTAGCACATACATGATCAAAGCAGTTTCCCAGAATTTGATCTCTGTCCCGATGTCTTTTTCCTCAATTTCAACTTCAACTTCCTCATTCACCAAGGTTGGTGCAACATACTCAATTGTCGATCTCATTGCTGTATTTCGATTCTCACTGAGTATATCATCCCACGGCTTACGAGCCTTAGGATCCTCAATTTCATATTCTAGGGTTTCAACTTCCACCACTTCTTCATCTATTGATTTCTCATTACTGTTACTACTATCCCCTTCTACCGTAAATTGATTCACACTCTCCTTATCCAGTTGCATCGACGGAGAAGGATGGTTCACCGGTGACGATGGCACCGTGGTTTTCGACCGCCCGCGTCCCCGTTTCGCCTTCATCGTTACCCCCATTAATTTTTATTTAAAAAAATTAGTTATATTTAAGGTAACGACTTAAACATTAATTTTATATTTTCTTTGTTAGAAAAATTTAAATTTTATTTTTAACTATAAATTGTTAATTAAGATTAATAATTTATTTTGTTTTTAATAAATTTTCTAACAAAAGACATAATTAGGAAATAATTCAAAAAATTATAAACATATAAAATACTAAAGTATTAAATCTTTACTTGTTGAAATTTTAATTATTTAGCTAAAATTTTAAAAAACACAACTATTTAAAAGTTCTACTATTAATAGTAATTTTAAAACAAATTAATCACTCAATAAGAATATGAAAAATGACACACTTATCATAAAACAAAGCATAGTTTATTATTTTTTAGTTATATCTTTTTGAATTAAAAAAATTGCTAAGATGTTGGTGTGGCGAGTTGTCGGAAGAATTTGATTTGATTTGAGTTGAAAGCTTAAACAAATATAAAAACGATTTTGCCCAAAATCTGAACGGAACACCAATTTCTACAATTTGAAAAAGAAAAAAAGAATAGTTTTATGAAAATTTCTTTCACAAACAATGATTCTTCCATCTGATGTCTATTTACAAAATGAATGTCGGGAATGTATTTTCTGAGGCCTCAGCAATCGCTTTTTAATCTCATTCTCCATCATTTCCAAATAGTTATTATCTATCACCAACTATCTCTCTCTCTCTCTCACACACACACACACACGCGCGCGCACACACACACACACAGACACACACACACACACACAATTTGTGATCCAACCCAACCTTTCCTCCCCCGCCTCTTTTAAATGTTCACCAACCTCACTTCCCTGAACGTCCTCTACGGCGGCCTTCACATTTCTCCCCCAAATCTTTACTTCTCCATTGAATATTGCACCCCTTAATCTCTAATCAATTCTAGTTTCATGCCAATGGATTGAGAGTTTTCTCCCTAAAAATTAATACTCTAACATTTCTCATTTGTTCCAACCTTAAGTTTGACTTTAACCACAACTTGTTCCTCATTGCACACTATTTCCCATTGCTACAGATACAAGACCTATCTAACATCAAATATTTTAAACAAACTCATCCTTTAAGAAGGAATTTACACTTTGAATTTCCTAAATTATAGGTTGTTGTGAATTGATGTTGTCAAGAACAAATCAAAATATGAGAAAGATTGAGTTTCTTGAACAAACACAAGAATCCTTATTAGGTTTTATGAAAGAGAGAAAAGACGAGAGAAGATGAATCAGGATTGGTTATAACTATTTTACTATTCACTTTCTCTATTAGGATTCAAAGATTGCAAGTGAATATCAACAACCAAATCTCCCTTTCAACAACTAGGAGAACTAGTATATATATAGACTACTAAGCTAACTTAAGCTACAAGTTAACTTAAATTATTGGGCTAAACAAACAAGCCAAACTCAACATGCTAACAATCCTATCATTTCAACTATTGTATGCTTGAGCATAATTCGACTACAACATGCAAGATCAACATGTAAATAGACTTCGATTACATGCTAAAATTTTGTCGAACTATGAAGTTATCCCCGTCAAGACTAGAGTTCGATCCAAAATACCACAGAGGTGTTGAATTTGTCATTTACAACTGTTGATGATACATGGTGACAGTCGTCATTAGGTGTTTTTTACTAGCAAATTTAGATGAAAACATTGAAATATTGAGTAAAAGTCATGGAAAAATATGAATAGAGAAAAAAACTACAAAAAGTGGAAGAACTTGGACTTAGAAAATTTTTGAAGAAAAAGAGGACAAAAAGCGACTTTGGCCCCAGGATTTTAAGCGCACGTGATGCATCTCATTGTGGCGCGATACAAGTCTCATCATGGTGCAATGTTGCGACAATTTCTGACACGCTTTACAACTTTAAATAAAGAATGTTGGATCCTTTTTTAGGATTTCGATTTTAATAGAGAAAGTGACGGCTAGGAGTGCTAAAGTGACGATTTGGAGCACTTTAGAAGCTATTGAAGACCTTCATCTTCCTTGATTTTTATGTTCTTTCCATCTAAATTCATGGTAATTATTAAGTTAACTATGAGTAGCTAGATTACACTAGATTAGGTCTCTTTGAGACAATCTTTCTTGTACTCTATTGGAATATATGGCTATTTGAGATTAATTTAGTCTTTTATGTTATTGCTATTAATTAATTGTTCATAATTTTTTTTTGTTGACGAATGTCTGAATCAATATTAGATTAATAGGGATTTCTAACTTTTAATCTACTGATCTGAACTAAAGCAATTATTCAATTTAATAATTAATTAGAAATAAGTAATTATAACTCAAGACCTTAATCCACGTATATTTTTATTTGTTCTTTATTTGGTTGATGAAATATTTATTTATTTTTCAAATTGTAACTGCAATCTAGATGTTTCATAATAAAATGAAATAAATTTTAGAGAAAAATCACACTATAACTAGAACAAAAATCACACGATAAATATGGTCAAATAAAAAAACAAACAAATAATGTATAAAAAGTGTGAAAAATATTTAAATACCAACCATGATTTTGTTCTATATGTCAATGGCTGATGAGTATCAACTTCCATACAGATAGGTGCATATTGCCCAATTATCCTTGATTCTTGGTGGTTTGGTGTCTATAAAACTTTGTGATTGTTGGAAGCTCACAAAATCAGCCTTGTTTGCACCCATTAGGAACTGTCATTCATTTAGTGAGATCACAATGGAAGGCAATTGAAGAGAAAGTGTTGAGGGTTCTGATTCTCTCAAGAATTTTAACGTCAACCCTCAATTAAAGTCTCGACGTTTAACTTACAATTCATCTATAACAGATGAAAACATCTTAATGTTTGCTTCCATTTTTCCCAAGATGTTGTAATATCAAAGATTGGAACTTCTAGCTTAGAAACATCCAACCTATTTCTTATGCATTAGATGAGTCTAGTTCAAGATTGGAACTTCTTAATCAAAGATTTTTATCCATGCAAGCTTCACTTAAACCAATCTCAATTCAAAATTTGCCCTTTTCTAATGTTGAACATGGTATAGACAGTGTTCTATGTTCTGTTTCAGCAGTTCACAAGGTGTTTCAATGTGTTACTCAGTTGAAATATTCTCTTTCTGACAGATCCGAGTTCCAATTTATTCACATATGTCTTAAACACGAAGAAGCTTGAAGAAGCATTGAAGCTTCTCACTGATAATTGTAAGTTAGCATCAAGTTGGTTGAAGAGTGCTTTTGATCTCTTACAAAACAAAACAATAATTAGTACCAATGACTCTTACCTATTGAATATTAACAAATCCTTGAGAATATTGCATGAATTGCCGACCTTCGATGGATGAAGTCTTAGTACTTCCCTTAGTTTCATTAACATCACACATTGATCAGCAAAACAACGACGCAAACCAAGGTTTGGAATTTCCAAGTTCTTTAACAAAGAAGTTACAAGTTATTGTCGGGAGATTAAAAGCAAATAATAGGCTAGACAATCAAGTGTCAAACTATGTATGTTGAAGTTCGTGGAATAATGCTCGGAGAAGTTTGATGACTTTGGATTTGAGCTACCTTGAGATTTCAACAATTGAGTTTGAGGTTGAACATTGAATGGAGAATTATATAGATAAATAGGGAAAGCATTTGGACTTGGTTGTTATGAAAATCGGTTCAAAAGTATGTAAAGTTGCAGAGACCAACTTGGTAAGTTTTGTTATTGATTATTGTGATAAGCTTCTTAGTGATGACTATACTCCACATTTGAATAAGATTATTAACCAATATTACCGAACAGAAAACAAAAGCATCTAGAAACACTTTCAAGCACCCAAACTGGTAATTTGATTAAACAGATCACTAAATGTACTTACACAAATGTTATCAAAGTAATATAATAATTCAAGACAAAGTGATGAAAAACAATACAATTAAAAATTGCATGTAACACTCAAATGATTGCAGAATCATCATATGCAAACTAATGTGTAAATAGTCAGTTGTAAGTTGACGTCTAAAACAAAGTAATCTCTCATAAAATTAAAGTTGAAAAAGAAAACTTACATTTAAGCATTCAAACTTCAATGGAGCACTTTAGAATGCTAGCAAATACGCCATCCATGATGTGAGAAGATTTTTATATTTCTTCTACTGAAATGAGGCGGAGCAATTATTTTTCTTAAAGACAGGCTTGACGATAACATTGAGGTAACATTACCATCCACTTTATCACAATTCCGCAAATTAATCTCTCTTAGTTGTGTGTAGTTTTCAAGCATATATTTCACTCCTTTCCATGTGACAATGACAATTTTCAAGGTGCAATTGCAAAAGCCCTAGACAACCCTTTGAGATTGCATTAGAGTTTTTTATTGTGAACGGGTGTATATGACAAATTCAACACCTCCAATTTGAGAAATTCAAAGTTCATTCCAACAAGTATGCTTCACTCTTGAACATTTGGCTAAGTTCAAATGTCTAATGTTACAAAATATCCTTAAATCTTGATCGATACCTTCATCAGATATTGATTGGCAAGAATTCAAACCAAGCAGCTGCAAATTGGAGAAAATGGAAGAAAAGCTTATGATAGTTTCATCTTTTAACCCTTTACAATAAGCCAAATTGAGAGACTTTAATTGAGATTTTACAATACGATCCATCAAAGAATTAGAATTCCTTACACTTTTTCCAATAGATGTCGATTCCATTTTAATCTCAATAAGTGAAGATCTGTGAGATATTGGATCGAACTCTAGTATGGTCGAAAGGTAACTTCTGGTTCGACAGGAATTAAGCATGAGATTGAAGTCTATTTGCATGTTGTTGTCGAAGATAATGCGTGTTGTAGTCGAAGTTTGTTCTAACATGCATTAGTCAATATTGCTAGGTTGTTAGCATATTGAATTGGGTCTTACTTGTAAGCCCAAGTGTTTAAGTTAGCTTGTATCCTAAGTTAGCTTGTAATGGGTAATTGTTAA